AAAAAAAAAAAAAAAACACAAAAATAAAAACACAAATCACAGGATCAGAGAAGATATTTAAAATACATACATACTCAGACTTAAATATGTAGCATGTATACAGAACATCTACAGTCCAGAAAGATTAAGATAATCTAATACGAAAAAATGGACAAAAGACTTGAATAGGACCATCACAAAAGATGATATCCAAATAACCAATAAGTATATGAAATATGTTCAACATCATCATTCAGGAATGAAAATTACAAGATCACAATTGGATACATACCAACCTGCAATGCCCACCACTTGGAAAGGATGTGGATGAAGCAAAAGGAATACTCAAATACTGCTGGTGGGACTCTTAACTGATAAAACCAACTTGGAAAACAGTTAAGCTCTATACTGTCAGGTTGAAGATTTTTATATTCTATGAAAATGCAGATCTGTGTTTGGAAAGGTATACTTGGATACATATACAAAAGTGAGCAGATCAGCATTATTAGTAATAATAAAAACTGGAAACAACCCAAATATCCATCAACATAAATGAAGATACATAAATTGTAGCATCTTAATTACAGTAGAGTAATATGTAGCAACATTACACTATACTAATTACAACATAGCTGCTCCTCTCAAATACAGTTGATCTAAAGAAACTAGAAATAAAATACATATTACTGTTCAAAAGATCCCCATCTAAATTATATTGTTTAGGTATGCATACACAGGTGGTAAAAGTGTGTAATAGAAAGAAAAATAAATTTGTGGATGATATAACTGTCCATGAAAAAAGTCAAAGAGAAGTTAAGTGAGGTGGCTCATGCATGTAATCCCACCACTTTGAAAGGCAGAGGTCAGAGAACTGCCTGAGTCCAGGGATTCAAGACAAGTCCAGGCAACTTGGCAAGACCCCATTTCTACAATAAATCAAAAAAATTAGACTGGGCATGGAGGCTCACGTCTGTAATCCCAGCACTTTGGGAGGCCAAGGCTAGAGAACTGCCTGAGCTCAGGGGTTCGAGACCAGCCTGGGTACCTTGGCAAGACCTTGTCTCTACAATACATCAAAAAATTAGCCAGGAGTTTGTTGTGGTGCGCACCTGTAGTTCTAGCTACTTGTAAGGCTGAGGCGGAAGGACTGTCTGAACACAGCAGGTTGAGGCTGCAGTGGCCATGAGCATGCCACTGCACTCCAACCTGGGCGACAGAGTGAGACTCCAACTCAAAAAAAAAAAAAGAAAAAGGCCATTGCCTTGCTAGTCTCACATGGTGTGGCCATGTGCTCTTTGAGCTATGGCTGTCACCATGCTTCCTGGCTTTGGCCTCCTCCCCACCTTGGCGAGGTGAATCTTTTCTTTCTCTAATTTACTTTTTAAATAAACTATATTTTCTAATCTAAAAAAAAGTCAAAGAGAAATGATAAAACATTAGAAAAAAATAAAACAGTCTAATAGGTTGCTAGATTCAAGATTGACATAGCAAAACCAACAGCATTCCTACATATTTTATAAATACTTATAAAATAAAACAACTGCCATTTAAAATAAATGGTACGAAAAAACTTAAAGGCTCTTAGGAATACATCTAACAAAAGATGTGTAAGACTTTTATGAAAAAAATTTTAAGACTTTACTGAGGAATATAAAAGATAGAAATCTATCTATCAGCCGGGTACGGTGGCTCCAGCCTATAATCCCAGAACTTTGGGAGGATGAGGCAACAGGACTGCCTGAGCCCGCGGGTTCGAGACCAGCCTGGGCAACATGGTGAGACCTTGACTCTACAATAAATCAAAAAATTAGCTGGCGTGGTAGCACGTGCCTGTGGTTCCGGCTACTTGAAAAGCTGAGGTAGAAGGATCGCCGGCGCCCAGCAGGGAGTGTGCCACTGCACTCCAGCCTGGGAGTGAGACCCCCAACTCAAAAAAAAAAAATCTATCATGTTCACAAATATAATGGCTCAATATTTTAAAAAGGTCACTTCTTCCCCCAAGATAATATATAAATTCAAGTGTAATTCCTATCAATTCACCAAGCTTTTTCATGAAACTTAAGCTGGCTCTAAAACCTACATGGAAAAAAAAGGCAGCAAAAATAGCAAAGCCCATTTTGAAAAATGACAAGGTATTTACCCAACGAACAATCAAGACTTATTATATCTTATAATTAAAGTAATATATTAGCCAAAGACAAATGGTCAAATAAACTCAAGACAGCCTAGATATAGACTCATGCACATAAGGAAACTCAGTATCAGAAGTGGTTATCTGAAATCAAAAATGCATGCCCATCAACTGATAGCTGGATAATGAAAATGTGGTATACATACAGTATGGAATACTATTCAGCCATAAGAAGAATAAAATAGGCTGGGTGTGGTGGTCAGCACTTAGGGGGACGAAGGCAGGAGGATCACTTGAGGCCAGGAGTTTGAGACCAGCTCAGTGGCAAAGTGAGACCTCGTCTCTACAAAAAATAGGAAAATTAGCCAGGCGTGGTGGTAAGTGCCTGTAGTCCCAGCTACTTGAGAGGCTGAGGCTGCAGGATCTCTTGAGCCCAGGAGTTTAAGGCTGCGGTGAGCCATGATCATGTCAAATGGTCAAATAAACTCAAGACTCTAGATATAGACTCATGCACATAAGGAAACTCAGTATCAGAAGTGGTTATTTGAAATCAAAAACGCATGCCCATCAACTGATAGCTGGATGATGAAAATGTGGTATACATACAGCATGGAATACTATTCAGCCATAAGAATAATAAAATAGGCTGCATTCCAGCCTGGGTGACAAAGTGAAATCCTGCTTCAAAAAAAAAAAAGAATGAAATAATGTCTTCTGCAGCAACTTCAAAGAATTGGAGGCCATCATCCTAAGTGAAGTAGCACAGGAACAGAAAACCAAATACCACATGTTCTCATTATAAGCAGGAGCTAAACTAAGTACCTACAAAGGCATGTACAATGATATAATGGACATTGGATAGGCTTAGAAGG